ACGATCACGCCTTTGCCTTCCCGCAGTCATCCGTTGTACCTGAAACAATAATCGATAAATGTAAGCTCGATGGCTTAGTGAGTTACCCCCAAAATACCCATACACACAACAATACACATAATAATCACAAACATCATGCTATAGGTCTAATCAACCATCGGGTTGGAATACCCTAGGCCCTCAACCATCGGGTTGGAATGCCAATATACTATGAGTCCAATCATCATCAGGATGTAATACCCCAGGCCCACAACCGTTGGGTTGGAATGCCCACATACTACGAGTCCAATCATCCATAGGGATGGAATACTCTCGGCCCACAACCATCGGGTTGGAATGCCCACATATTACGAGTCCAATCATCCATCGGGATGGAATACTCTCGGCCCACAACCATCGGGTTGGAATGCCCACATACTACGAGTCCAAACATCCATCGAGATGGAATACTCTCGGCCCACAACCATCGGGTTGGAATGCCCACAACCAATCAAACATGTGCACCTATATCAGATAATCATATAACGGTCTATAAAGACAACATACTAGGGTCCACTCATCCTCTGGATGGAATACCCTCAACTACCATAACAAGCATGTGTACATATAACATGTAATCACCTAACAGTATACAGACAGTCAGACCAACTACAAGTCTCTAAGCATCACCACATCCTATCTACCAGGATCCCGATCTAACAGATCATACGAGCATATAACCATCCTATCCACCAGGATACCGAGCTAACATTTCACAACAGTAACAATTCCAAATAACAAATCAAAGGGCCGACATTGGTGCCTTAGACCCTTGAGTATAGTGAGGATAACTCACCTCACAATGTCGATCTGAACTGAAGAATCAAATTCCCGAATCGTTGTCTCACCAAAAATCCCGAACTATCCAAATAATAAACACTATGTCATTACATGGAATATCAATCTTGACTAAGGGTCCACATAATCCATTTTGTCCTTTCTCTTTATTGGGCCAATGCCCAATTGCCAAATCCATGATCTTAAAAGCCCATATATCTAAAGCCCATTAATGGCCCAATTTTCCAAATTGGGCCCAACTCCCTAATTGGGCCTCATTCAAAGACTCACTACCAAAACTGGCCCAAAATACTTTTATCCAAAGAGCCCATCAGGGCCCAAGTCCAACTAGCCCAAAGGTGGCCCAATCTCGAAACCCAATTCGTCAAAGGCCCAACAGAGGACGTACGCGGGGCGTACTCCTCTGGTACGCTGGGCGTACTCTTCCTGACGTTGACCACCATCGGGGTGGTTGACTCAGTACGATGGGCGTACAGAACTTACGCTAGGCGTACGTGGGGTTTTGCCAAAACCCTAATAAGTGCTTAATGGCTTAAGCACTTAAGCCCATATTTCAAATCCATCGACCAAAAGTGTCTTAGAGCCATAAAGTCTTGAACTTTATTACTTTGGACGTCCAGAAAGCTCTTAATCCATGGTCTTAATCCATTCAGACCTTTTTACTTCATGCATGTGACAACTTAAGCTATTGGGACCTCATTTTTTATCACTTAGGACCTCTTCAAGGGTCTGAAAGGACAGCTTATCTTGTCCAAATCACATCATGCATAAATTTGGGGACTTTTGGGACAAGAATGGTTCCATAAGGCTAGAATAGCTAGATCTATATCATGCAAGCATAAAGTTTGAAGCTTTTTACCTTCTGGAGCTTCTAGGGCACAAAGAAACTTCAGATCTACAAGCTTGTCCTCCTTCTCCAACTATTTGGTGCAACACCTCCTCCTTCAAGTGGTCAAAACACACACAACTCACACTCACACACAAGGCTAGGGTTTGAGACATCTTTAGGGTATGGAGGCTGAAAGTGGTGGGAGAAATGAGCCATAAGGATGTTTATATAGCACCCAAACCCTAAATATTAGGGTTTCCTTCTGTCATGAGTACGCCCAACGTACACAAGTGTACGCCCAGCGTACTAGGGCGCGCCTAGTACGCTCAGCGTACCCTTATGTACGTGCAACGTACTCCTCTTGATCCCAAAATTGCAATTTAGCCCTTATGGTTCTCATGGATTCACCCTTCCATCCCCAGGGACTCTAAATGACAAATCTTGGGGTGTTACATATAAGCTGGACAAAGTCAAAAGGTGTACGTTCATGGAGAGACTGGGAAACAATGGAATCACATGGCAATGGAAATACTTGCCAACGGATGATGTGTCGGTGATTGAACTACACAATTTCTACCTTCTATTTGGTTCAATCAAATTTCGTTCTCCCTCAAATATTGGTTTTTGATTCAATCTTAACCCAAATGGAACTTCCTTGGGGAGTATCATGAGAGGGTTGGTGGATTCTAAGCAAAATCAAGTGCAGGGATACAAGATATGTTGGTCAAAACTTATCCCCACTGAAAGTTAAATGCTTTGTTTGGAGGGCTACAATGGAAAGATTACCAGTCACAGAAAATCTAAGGCACAGGGGTATTATCGTCCAATCCTCCAATTGTCAGCTTTGTGGGATACATGTGGAATCTACTAATCATGTACTGGTGGACTATGAGTTTTCCAAAAATGTATATTACTGGATTTTTAGGTGGTGTGGAATACATATTATTCAATTCAAAACAGTACAAGAGCTCTTGGATTTTGCCGACTCATGGGGGAGCTGTCCCAAGAAAAAACAAACATTGATTATGATATTCTATGCGATAATATAGAACATTTGGCTAGTGAGGAATGATAAAAATTTCAAGAAAATCACGAGATCTCCAACAAAAACTGCAGATGCTGTCATTTCTCAAACATATGAATGGTGCAAATACAGGGGAGCTCTATAAGCTGGGCAGAATGGAGTCATTCTCTTATTTAATTTTTACACATTTTGGTACCATGGTTTTATTTCCTATACTGCATTATTGTTGTACTCTGTATCTTATGGCTTAGCATCTTACGAATGTTGGTTTATGGTTTTATATAATATTGTTGTACTCTGTATCTTATGGCTTAACATCCTGCGAATGTTGGTTTATGGTTTTATATAAGTTATTTGTCGTTTCCCAAAAAAAAATTGTTATCAATAATGCTAGGAGAGCTGCACGGATTGTCAATTAGTTGTTACGATATGTAATTACTCCGGATTGTCAATTAGTTGTTACGATATGTAATTACTCATTAAAATACTATGATTTTACTATATTTATTGCTATAAAGTTTATCGTCGTTTTAAAAAAAAAAATATTTATGTAATTTAATTCGTTACACGTTAAGGCCTAAGGGTTTTTTTGCCGGCTCGTCCTGAGCATTTGAATCCTCAGGACCGGCCCTGATTAAGATACCTAGCTATAAATTCTTGTAATCGTAAACCCTAACAATAACTATACCAAGTCCATATACAATTATATTTATAATAGTTGAATAGGCCATACCTTAATATGTCCATACTCCGAACACTTTATCTTGTTGAAAATCATCATAAATTTTTTTTTCAAGTCGGTTATTCATTCGGATCACCAATTTTCAAGTCGATACTTTAACACATCTTATCAATAATGCCTATAACATATGACGCCTAAATGTGACATCCCACTTCTCTATATAAGTAGATTTTTATGAATTTATTTTATTACCGTCATCACTTTGTGTATAAGCAACATGCATTCATGGAACATGAGTGGCATACGAGCATCAACAAAAGAGAAATATGAGTGAAGGAACATACTATTAATGTTTTATCTTCTTGGCTAGTAATCAAGCAACTAGAATCAATTATTATGCTCAACTTTTCTCGATCTTATGACAAAAAACAGTACACATGTAGTATGTGCTTGATCATATATGCTTATTTTGTCAAACATATACTAGCGCAAGTAAGACCACGAGGAAGCTCCCGAGGATAGTGTGCTTATTAATTCATACCAAACGGTAGGATCACCAAAATCTACGTAACAATCACAGGCCCATGTTGTTGCACCGATTCCATATCATTTACCTACATCGATGTAAGTATTCGTCTCTCCAGTACCACTCATCAATAAGAAGACACACACACACGCTCGACACACACACAAAAAAAAAACCATAAAAACACTAACGTATGAGTGGAATCCCAAAATCAGAAAAACCAAAAACGACATACTTTTTTATTTTTGATACACTTGATAATGAAAAGGATATAGAAAAACTAGAAGATTTTCTTTCACAATAAAATAGAACTTGGAAAATTAATGAATGAATATCATAAAATAAACTAGTTACACTTTTTAACAGCCAAACAGAATCAGCTTAGCATAAAAGAAGTTCAATGAAATTAGTCACCAAAAGTACAATTAAGCTGTAAGTGGTAACCTTTTTAACAGGTGAGGTAGACATCGAATTGTTCTAATTTCTAAATCAACAACGTAATAACCAGCCATGATTCAACCCCTCAAGTAACTAACAAAAAGCTTCCAGGATGATTAGCAAGGTGAAATATTTGTAACCCTGTAATTAACAGTTGATGTTCTTACCTAAATATAAAGCAACAAAGATCTTACTACAACATTCTCAATCAGGTGAATGTAGAGGCATGAAATCAATGTACATTAATTTCCACAGATACCTGGGATCTCAATGGAATAAACCAACTAAAAAGAAATACCACATCAGATGTATTATTCTCGATTTAAATACATTCTGGATGCAGAATATGCCATGAAGGCATGAAGCAATAACCAATATGGTGCTTTGGGCAAAAGGGATGAGTGATAAATAAAAAAATTTCACTCTGGTGTTCATCTACAGTCTACAGTAAACGAAAGGCATTGAACACTAAGAACACAAGCATCAAAATCACAAAGGAAAATCAACTTAATTGTAAGGATCCATTTATATATAAAGGTCTAGAACATCAAAGCTTAAAAACTATCGTTTATAACAGAAAAATTGAAACGCAAACTTTTTTTCCCCATAACAGTAGATTTGGAAATAGTGGAAAAGTACCGATTCGATTAAATCCATCACATCATTACTGGTTCTTCAACTTCTCGACCCTGTTATTTAACTGATCGATCTTAATAACCAAGTGCGTCACGGAAAACAACAGCCAATAGAAAACCAAAGCGCTAACGATCAACAACATGTTGCGCTGGCTCTTCATGATGGATTTCTGGTGACGCAAGTGCTCCGTTGGGGTACACGATTCCGCCTCACAGTTGGGTCGATGCTCGTATTTCCAGTAGATATCCATGAATAGAAAGAGGCAAAAGGGGACGATCGAGAGGAACGGTTTGAGGAGGTTACGGATGACGGCGACTAAGCCCTTTCGGAGCGGGCCAAGGCCAGGAATGGTCAGCAGAAGGACCATGACTGCTTCTGCCGCGGCGGCGTAGCCGAGGACAACCCATTCTAACGCCATTGTTAATTGATCGGAGAGAAGATTGGAGAATACGAAAACCCTAGATCTGTTGTGGTGTGGACGATGAGAGGATTGTGAGGGGGTGGAAAGAAAAGGAAATCGAGTTTCTTCGAAGATGTAGTCGTTGCCTCGTTGGTCGGTGATGGGACACGTGTGGACACGTGGTATCTTAGTAGAGAAGCAAGGAGAGGGGACTAAAATAGTAAAATGTATTCGAAAAATAATAGATAAAAGATAAAAAGGAAATTGAGTAATCTCACTCTTATAAATTTATAAACATGGTTGTTAATAAAAATAATTATTTCAATTTTCTTTTCTTTGTAAAAGTGACCACATACTCTGGAATATTATATTCTGGAGCGCGTAATTTTTTTCCGGAGTTGGAATCAAGAATACGATATTCTTAAGTATTTATGATGTTGTTCCGGAGTTGGTGTTGGTTGGTCGGATTTTGATCTAGAATCTGACATACCGTACGTTCTGGACTGAACAAGTGTATTACGGACTACAGTCTGGAACAGTTGTACATTCTGGAGTGTTATTCCGGAGAGATATAATTAGGGTATTTGTATGGTTTTGTTCCATATATGCAATATATTAGTGTGTTTGATACTTTCCATAAACGTTCCGGAACGAGTATGTATACAATATTTTTTTTCGAGTGTCAGTTTCTAGTGGAGGGCAATGACAACGTATCGACGTATGTATGCAATATCTTGCTCCGGAGTACACATGCTTTGGTGTAGATATAAGCAGTGATATCAACCTCGGTGGGTTAGTTACGTTGGTTGCTTCCAAGGCCAGGTTACACATTAATAAAATTCGTTTATCTTTTCAATGTCCTGGATCAAATATAGTTATGCAGATTATTAACGATAGTGATGTTAGATATTTTCTTAGTTTTGTTAATACTATGCCTCCCAACACAGTACAATTGTTTGTTGTTAATAATGTATTGGAAAGTGGTACTAATCAATTTCTCGGGGAAAATCGTTCTGGAAATGGTTCTTCCGGTGTTAGAAGTAACCAAATTTGTAATTTATTACCAATGACAACTAACCATGTTCCTTCTTACAATGACCCTATAGATGGGGGTGATTATAGGTCTAAAGGTAAGGTTGTTGTTCATGCCGACCTTCTTGTTGATGTTGATGAATCTGTGAATGATGAGGCAAAACTAATGATGTTGGTTGATGATGGTAATATAAGTTGATGAATCTGTGAATGATGAGACAAAACTAATTATGTTGGTTGATGATGGTAATATAATTCCACATGGAGAGCCGGTGAACATTTTCAGAGTTACACTGAATTTGATGGGGATGGTCATGAAGGTGGAGATGAGGAAACCGGTCCCTTACAACCCTGAAAATCACAAGAGGAAAAGTTTCCTTTTTATTTTTCCGATTCTGAAGAAACACAACCCACCCATTGGGGTATGCTTGAACCTTTACCATTGCTCGAATTTGCTCAACAAAAACGTAAAGGGGCCATAAAGCACAACTATACTTCCCATGTGAAGTTATACCAACTCTTCAAAAGCAAAGAATCACTTAAGCTTAATTTAGGATTGAAAAGTGTTAGTGAAAGGTTCCAATACAAAGTGAAAAAATCTACAAAAAGACAGGTTTGAAGCTATTTGTTATATGGATAATTGTGACTGGCAGATACGGGCAACAAAACACAATACTAACAATACATTTCAAGTGGTTAAACTATCGGAGAAACACACTTTCTCAAACACACATCTACGTCCCCACCACCGACAAGCCAACAAAAAGGTATTGGGTCACTTCTTGAAGGGCATATTAGCTGATAGTATGGGTAATATGTTGCGGGGGAAACAGATACAACGAACTTTAAATGACCATCTTTGTGTATATACTTAATACTGGCAAGCATAAAATGATAAAATGTATGCTCTAAATCTATTGAGAGGGACCCCTGAAGTGTAACGCCCCAATTCCCAGGTATTAATATTATGACTTTAATTTTCAAGTTTCAAGGTCTACTCGACGAGTTGGATGCCCTGACTTGTGGAGTAGCAGCGGGTTTGGGGCCACGTGTTTAAGTGACCAACTCGCCGAGTCGGAAGAGTGACTCGACGAGTTGGAGCTGGAGGGTGAAACCCTAATTTCCGGGGTTTTGCACCCTATTTAAGGAATCATTAGCCTCCATTAGTCCCTTACAGCCTCTAGAGAGTCCAACAAACCCTATTTCGTGTGAGAGCTTCATTTGAGTGTGTTTTTGAGCTTTGGAAGGTGGAACTTGTGAAGGGAGTTTGAAGGTCAAGTAGCTAGCAGCAAGGGACTCGTGTGGATCTACAAAATCTATCTCAGTTAGCTTCATTTGAGGTATCAATTCATGATCTTGGCCTCATTTCTTTCTAGATCTCTTTGGATGAAGTTTAGGGATTTTTGGCTTGGTTATGAAGCTATTGTTGAGTATGAGCTGGATCTGAAGTTGCAACTTCAGATCTGAACCCTCCTTGGGATCTAGGTTCATAAAGTTTCTAGTCTTGTCATGTATGAGACCTTCCATTTGAGTTAGACCTCATTTCAAGTTTGGATTTGGCATTATGAGTCATTACAACCTTGCATGCACATAAAGATTGCAACTTTACGTGATAAGCATGCCTTGGGAAGTTGGATCTGCAGTATGGAGCCTTAGCATGGCTTAAAAAGCATCTATATGGATGAAGGACCAAAGGGACTCGGCGAGTGGCATGGTCGACTCGGCGAGTCCGATGAAGATTGTCGAAGACGCGGCGAGTCAGTAGAGTGACTCAGCGAATCCGATGAAGATTGCCATGGGCTCGGCGTGTCAGACGAGTGACTCGGCGAGTTGGCAAGTTATGCAAGGAACCCGGCGAGTAGCTGAGGGTACTCGACGAGTTGAGGTCAACATGGACTGTTGACCTTGGCAGTTGACATTGACTTTGACCAAGGGTTGACCAGTTGACTTCTGAGGGTATTTTGTTAAATTGGATATTTATAGCAAAGCACATTGGTGAATATAGGTGTGGGAGTTGGAGTTACATTTGGAGGAGTTTGACACTATCTTCCGAGCTACTTGCGAGGTGAGTTATCCTCACTGTACTCAAGGGTCTAAGGCACCAAGGCAGGCCCTTTGTTTTGTTATTGGGGTTATTACTGTGGTGATATGTTAGTTCGGTATCCTGGTAGATAGGATGGTTATATGCTAGTATGATCTGTTGGATCGGTATCCTGGTAGATCGGATGTGGTTATGCTTAGTGACCTTGTAACACCCAGAATCAGAAAGACCAAGAAAAGAAAGGAAAAGCTCTAAGTCATGAGTAAACTCGTCGAGTCCAGGGAGGAACTCGACGAGTCGGAGCGGGATCCGTGGTATAGAGTAAGTGACCGACTCGGCGAGTCGGCTAGTGGACTCGGCGAGTCTGGTCTGGGCAAGAAAAACCCTAATACCGGGGGTTGTGCCCTATTTAAAGAACATTACATCCCTTCCCCAGCCTCTTTACGCCCCTTTTGAGATCCAGAAACCCTAAATCGTGAGTGAGAGCCCTTGGAAGCAATTTAGAGCCTAGATAAGTGATTTTGGTGGAAAGGGGCTTGAAGATCAAGAGGCTTGCTGCAAAGGAGTGGTGTAGATCCGAGATCTACTTCAGTTGGAGCATATATTGGAGGTAATAAGCTATTGCTTTGGCTTTATTGCAAATAAATCTATCTTATGTTTGAGATTTGGGGCATTTTGGGCATGATTGAGATCTATGTCGAGTTAGAGGCCTAGATCTGAGGTTGCTACCTCAGATCTAGACTTGTGATGGTCCAGAAGGTCATAAAGTTGATGTCAATAAGTTGTTGGTGAAGCCCCTTTGTCTTAAACCCTAGCCCTAGAGTGTTTTGGGCCTTTAGCTCCTTGGTTTCACGTAAAGTTTGCAACTTTACGTGGGGGATAGACGGTAGAAGAGTGGATCTATGAATTGGAGCCCCCTGCATGGCTCGAAAAGCCACTGTATAGATTGAGATCTGAAGAGACTCGGCGAGTCACATGGGTGTACTCGGCGAGTATTATGAACATGAGCATGGACTCGGCGAGTTGGAAGAACAACTCGGCGAGTTCGTTGAAGATTGCCTTGGACTCGGCGAGTCTGGTCGCAGAACCTCAACCTTTTCTGGTTAAGACGCAGATCAGTGAGTTGAGTGGTGACTCAGCGAGTTGGACAGGATGGGACTCAGAGATCGTTGAACTCGACGAGTCTTGGGGTGACTCGGCGAGTTGAGTCGTATTTTGAGAGTTTCTGAGCTTAAGAACTCGACGAGTCTACGAGTTGACTCGGCGAGTCGAGTCAACTGGAAGGTTGACTTTGACCAGGACTTTGACTTTGACTGGAGTTGACTTAGTTTGACTTCTAGAGTTCAGTTTGGAACTAAGTGTTATATTGATAACAGTAGCTCGGGGAGCTAGTTGAGCAGCGGTTCAGAGAGTTGTCGGACAGCAGCCAGAGGGTTATCAGCAAAGTTCAGCAGTGCAGGTGAGTTTCCCTTTGTGTGAATGGGTCTACGGCCACAATGCCGGCCCATGTAGTTATGAGTAGGAAGACCCGGGGGTTAGCCCTAGGCACAGTATGCAAGTATGACATTCGGGACTAAGGTCCAATGTTAGCGGGCGGGTGCCCAAGGAATGGTTTGTATGATAGTTATACTTGTTGTCCGTGTGATACATGTATGCGCCTGGTAGGGAGGTGAGTGTGGGCGAGGCCCCGTATCTCACCAATAGCAGAGTGTGGACGGTGTTCCATACCTCATTAACAGCAGAGCAGGGGCGAGGCCCAAGTTAGGAAAAGAGTGAGTGTGGGCTGGGCCCGTATCTCACTATCAGTAGGAGCGTGGACGGGGTTCCATGATTCCTCAGTAGCAGGACAGGGGCGAGGCCCAAGATAGGCGAGGCCTTAGCACAGTAATCCAGTAGAGTATGTTAGTTATGTGTTGTGATATGATTGTATGCTAGTATATGTTAG